ATTCCTCTCTTGCTATCACACCTTGAGCGTACCTCACAGCCCTGCCACCACCACTCTTCTTTCTCACTTTCCCCCACTGTTGTTCCAATTCTATAGACTTATTTTCATCCCTGCCTCTATGAAGTCAGATTACTTCAAATGTAAAACTTTCTACTTAGGATTCAGAAACTTTTACTACCAACCCAGCCCACACTAGCAGCCCTCCAGGTTGAATTTCTTGCTAATTGTCGCCTTTCTAGAGGGCCCTTCCTCTCTGTGGTTGGTGTAATACTGCCATCTGGTGGTTCTTCAGATGAAGTGCCTGAGGCAGATAAGTGGTTCCACCCATGTGGGGTAAAATCTAACTTAGGAAGATCCTTGTGTGTGGAAAAAAGTAATTTCTAACTAATACCAAAAACGACAATACCAGAGATTGAGTTGTAACAGATTTTAATAATGGTGTTCTGCGGCAGAAAATAGCATGTGTAATTAGTCTTTTACATATGACAAGCATCTTCATGTGTGTTGTTAGATATCATACTCATCCAAACCCCACACAACTATGCTGTTTTCCCATTCATCCTTCTACCCACAAGTAAAGAAACTCAGAGAAGTTAAATGCCATGCACCAGATCACTCAACTTGCAGTAGGCATGTCAGAATCTGACACATGTCAATCTGGCTCCAAATTTTCTAGATGACTCAGTCATAGATCCTAGTTGGGTTTTAGTTGTACACATGGTAGAGAGGTTAACCCTCCTGAGTTATGGAATATTTGAGGTGGGGGAACCAGGAGTCTGAAGGGGCAATGGCAAAAATCACAGTGGTTAATCTTGGTGGAAGCTTCCATTTTTCTAGCCATTTTGGAACAGGAAGGTTGAGAGTTAAGATCTAGAGAGAGGAAAAGGACTGGTCAGAGCAGGTAGGAAGTCCAGGTCCTAACCTAGAAAAGGAAAGGCTGTAGTTCCCCGGGAAATTCTAGTAGAAGTAGGGTGAATTCAAGTTCTTCCAGTCTTGCCTAGGAACTTGCTTTAGGAGCTATGGAGAGGTTGGTCTGGGTGTGCTGGTACCACTGCCATGACTGTGGCCAAATGCCATGTGCCCTCCCCAAAGCCAATCCCTCCCTCAATATTACATGTTAGGTGGGAGGGTATGGAAGTGACAATGATGCATATTTGTCTACTTGCTTCATTCATGTCTACTTGCATGGCCATCCTGGGCTCATTCTTTGTATCTTTTGATTCCTGCAGTTACAAGGAAGTATTTAGAATTTGGAAACCCAGCCTTTACACATTTATATTCTAGTTACTAAAAAGGTGTTTTATAAGAAAGAAGGATGTTTAGCTTCGTGAAGAAACTAAACCATCTGTAAACTGGCCCACACTTTGTTACCTGAATCAAAGTGATTCCAGTGCGTTCACTTGACTTCTGAAGCAAGCAGAAGACACAGAGCCCGACTCCTGAGAGAATGTTCCGCCATTCGATCTCATCAAAGCCAAGTTCTCAAAGCCAAGTTGTTTCACAAATTCACTCCAGTGAGTTTCAGAGGGTATGTTTGAAGTCAACGCAGAGTGAAAGTTATATCACAAATGTACTGTTTTAGGGGAATTTATCCATCTGTTTTTCAGAGACCCTTTATGCTTCTGGTTGTTTACAGCCAGCTCTCCATGTCCACAGGTTCTGCACCTGTGGATTCAATCCATCACAGATTGAAAATACGCAAAAATGTTCAAAAAAAGCGTGTGCATTGAATATGTACAGAGCTTTTCCCTGTCATGATTCCCTAGACAATACAGTTTAACAACTATTTACATAGCACTTACATGGGATTGGGTATCATAAGTAATCTACAGATGACTGAAAGTATTGAGGAGGGTTGCCAATGGTATGCCATTGTAGTTAAGGGATGTGAGCACTGCTGGATTTGGTATCCATGCAGGGGGAGGGGTACAGCTCCTGGAACCATTTCCATCACTCCCCCCTCCCTAGCTGTTATAGGATGACTGTGTTTCTGTTTAGACCCGACTAACATGAACCAGCCAGCACATGGACCAAAGGGCTCTAACAGATCATGTTTTTCTAGGGTTCTAACACAATATCACCCAGACATTGTACAAAGGGGAATAGCAACCACTGTACAGAAGCTTATGTTCCAGAATATGAATGACAGAGCCTCCATAGAAAGTTGACGTACAAGTGAGTGATGTACTGTGAGTCTTCCACACTTACTTTGTGGTGCAGATCTTGCACCGGGACACATAGGAGAACAATAGACCCCACTGTATGTTGTCTCCATCTGTCGAGCTGTCCCACAGTTAACTGATGTGGTTTTCATGAAATTCTTTTTTTTCTTAAGTGTTTAATTCGGGATAGTTTCCAAGGCAACATCTTCAATTTCACTAATATTTTCTTCTTCATTCTCTCATCAGCTGTGAACTGTATCCAGTGTTAATTTTGTCTGATACATTGTAGTTTTCATCTGTGGAAGTTCAGTGTTTCTTTTTTAATATCTTGCATTATATCCACTTGGTATACATAAATTTCCCCTTTTGAACATATGGAATATACTTATAACAAGACTTTTAGCATCCTTGTTCAATAGTTCTAGCATTTGTGTCCATTCTCGGTTTCAACTGGTTATCTTTCTCCTCCCGATGGGCCCCATTTTCCTGTTTCTCTTTGTGCTTGGTATCTTTTGTGAGATTCCAAACTGAGTTTTCCCTTATGGATACTAAATAGTATTGCATTCCTATAAACATTATAGAGCTTGGGATTGGAACACAGATGAATTCCTTGGAAACACTGATTATCTCAGGTCATGTTTTTAAGACTTAGTGGGTGGAGCTATTGCTAAGATTAAGTATTCTCACCTACCCCTCCACCTCCATCCCAATGCCCTGTGAACTGAGTTTTTCCATCTTCCTTGTGAGTGCATGCCCTGGAGGCTCTGGGGGAGTGCTGGGCAGTGTCCTCTGATCCATTCAGGTAGGTCTTTCCCCTCCCCATTTGTGCTGGTCTGGGAACTGTCTCAAGGCAGAAAGTTGGGTGATCACAAGGTTTGTGTCTTGTGTGCCAGGCTCTCAGGGATTGTTGTTGTTAGCTGTCAAATTCCATTGCCCCAACCATTTATTCACATATTTTGTCCAGTTTTTCAAATGGAAAAGTCTCATCTCTATTACTCACATTTGCCATAAGTACAGTGTCCTTTAAGTCTATGATTGCCAAATATTTTCTGTACTTTATGTTTAATTTTGTAATATGAGGCAACAGCTAGGTAAAAGTCATTATCTGAACATTTTGCTCAATGTTGTGCTTGAAGTTCCTCAGTCTTTCTAGGATATGGCAATAAATTTTTGCTTTCTAATTTTTAGCCTGTAATTTTGCTTGAGGCTGAAGTTGAAAATATGAAGCTTATTTTTAATTTATTTGAGAAGCAGAGAATGCTTCCATCCACTGGCTCACTTGCAAGATGCCACAGCTCTCCAACCAAAGCTGAGAGCTGAGAACTCAATCCAGTTCCTCTCCACAGGCGGCAGGAACTCAACCAGTTGAGCCATCACCAGTGTCTCCCAGCGTCTGTGTTGGCAGGAAGCTGGAGTCAGGAGCCAGAGCCAGGAATTAACCCCCAGAACTCCAATGTGGGATGTGGACATACTAACCATCACTCTAAATGCCTGACCCACATAGGATTTTTAATTCAACAAAGTTAAGCTTATTTCTCTTCACTTTGAGCTCAAGGTAAGATAGCTGGTGTTGGACTTGATGGACCAACTGTGAGACTGTCTTCTCTTGCTGTCTTTGCTCGCGTACATGGTGGTAAAGACTGGTGGGTGGAGGTGGAGGAGGCAGTCCTCCAGGGAGGTGGTGCTGCTGCCCTTGTGAGTGGAGCTGTCCTCCCAGGCTGGCTCTAGAACACCCGCATCTTTTCCCCCTTTGAACTCTTCAGCTGCTCACTCAAGCAAAGGTAGTGAATCCCTATTTCTCATCAGGTACCAGATGCCCAATCGTTACACCCAACAACAAGCAGACCCACACCCATGCTTTCCTCCAGGATCAACATGACTCCTGCCTCTGCCCCTTGTGCTCACAGGAGGAGGCATTCCAGTCTCCCCTGCTCCCACTGGCTGCCCTCTCCTAGCCTGCCCTGTGAGGTAGCGGGAGTGTGTATTAAAGGGGGAGAGTTTCCATCACTTCATCTTGAGCCGGAGACTCTAGTAGCTGCCTGTTGTGTCCTGGAGCCCCCCACCCAGGGACATATGGCTATCAGAAGCCACAGAGAGATTTAGAATTCCAAGCTGCTCATGTCTGTAAGGTCATCACCTTCCCACACTTGACATTGTGCTTTGTCTACCTGCCCCAGCCGTCTGAGACAGAGTAGCAGCCTTAACATAGGCATGGAGTTGTGGTCATACAGAGTCCAGCTGAAGACAGGAAGGGGTTCTTTTCCGAATTTTGGTAAAAAGAGACTATATAGAGAGATACATGCACACATGCATTTCAATACTGTTTTATTGGTGTGGCCTATGACGTTGACATGTGCTGCCTCTTCTGGATCATCTTTCCCTTGGTAAAGAGTTTTCTCCCTACCATATTAGGATTTTGTTTTAGGAGACATTATTTCTTCTTCCTTGTGTTTCAGGCTTTACTCTTTGGGAAACCAGAGGTGCAGTTCTACACAAACAGTGACTTGATCAGCTCTTGTCCTGACGGTTGATGTACAACGTAATACTTTATCCATTTTAGTTATTTTTTTTTTGTTCTAGTACCATTGGTTGAACTCTGTAATTAACACACAATTATTCTTAGGTGTTTAAATTTTAACTGAAAAGTGATCCCTGTTAGGAATTTGGAAAACTCTGAAAATTGAGAACAAAATGGTTTGGGTTCCTTCTTTGGTTTAGACTTCTACACAGCGAGCATTTTGGAGGGTCTCTGGCATGCCAGGCACATGAGGGTTGGATCCCACTCCTGTGGGCAGCATGTCTCCACTTTAGTAACCTCAGGCTGCTTTCTTTCTGCAGGTGTCTGGGTGGGCAGAGCGAACAGCTGTCAGTCTGACAGCAGTGGGTTCCTGGAGGAGCCACCGGAACCACTACCCCTGCAGGTAACAAAGGTTGGAATAGGGCCCTCAGTGCTCACCCCACCTGCCCCTTTTCAGCCTTACCAACCACCCAGCCTCCCGACCCTCACCCCAGCTCTCAGGAGGATGGCTAAGTTTCAGTACCTACCAGTCCTAGAAGGGCTGAGCTGGTACATAGCATGCAAATCCAGGTGCAGAGCAAGCAGAGGGCCAGTAGACAGGAGGCCCTGAGCCCAGCCTTGCTATCCCTTTGATTTTCCTTTGACTTTTCTCAACAAAGGAAGTGGAGCTTTGTGGGGAGGTGGCCCAAGGCAAAGCAAGACGCTGATATAAACCCTGCCTGTGACCCTCATCTCCCAACTCCTGGGTTGATGGTAACGATAAGGAAAGAAAAACCCCTATGCCTCTGCCGCTTGCCGACTCACTCCCTTTGGTCCCACTTTCTCCCACAGATGCCTTCCTTGCCAAGCAGTCAGAGTCCTGCTGAGAATCCTGGCAGCAAGCCTGGTGGTGGGAGCCACAGCTTCGGGTTCTCTCAGGACTGGCAGCCAGAGGCCGATGGATCTGATCCCAAGAGTGCTGTGAGCACACCTGCTCCAAGCCAGTCCTGGAGTGTGTTGGAAGAAAAGGGCTCAGACTCTGTAGTGGGAGAAGAATCTCAGCTTGAGGCCATCCAGGAGCCCATGGGACACTTGACCCCAGATCTGGCCCTTGCCCAGACCTCCCACGGTGGGGCACACCTAAGGGAAGATGGCCGTGTACCCCCGCCACCAGCCTGCCCTGGCTATGAGGACATTGAACCCCTCGTCACTTCCATGAATGATCCTCTGGGGTTCACAATGACCCACACCACAGGAGAAGGGAAGGACGAGTTTCTCAGGCCCTCTGGAGCTGGCACAGTGCACATGCAAAATGCACACTCCCAGGAGTCTCTGAGGGCTCCCAGAAACGACCATGTTGAAGACAAGCTCCTCCAGCTGGACGCCAAGGCCCCAGAAGGAGAGGACAAGAGCAGACGTCATCCTGACACCAGCAACGGCTTACTGGCAGGACACAGTCCACCATGGCGTGAGTCTCGTGTCCCTGAGCAGAGCAAAGTCACACCCGGTACAGCGGACCGCATTCCCATGTCTGCGGAGTCTATTCCCCACTTGGAAACCCCCCCTGGGGACGCTAACCAGGCAAAGCCAAGGTGTAGAGCTTTGGGTCAGAGACCACCTGGGGCGGAAGGTGAGGTGGAAAAGCTGCCCACGAATGCCGATGCAAACACTAGCAGCTGCAGGTCTGTGACGATCCAGATGTCCTCTAGCCTGCTGTCAGCTGCCTGGAGCACGGTGGCCTTGGGGACTGACTGTAGAGGAACAGCGTCAGACCATGCTGTGTGTGACTCTGCCACCACAAGAGGATCGAGGCTGCGGACAGAGGAGAGACGGTCCCGCGATGTTTCGGTTCAGACTGATTTCTCTGAGCCCAGGCCCTGGCATTGCTGTGCAGCCCTGAGGAGGGAGGCCTTGACACACGGGCTCCAGCCCCTCACCAGATCTGTCTCTCTGGACACAGGCTTCCCCTGTGCCTACCCTGTGGGCACCTGCCTGGCTGCACCTGCGCATGGCTGTGTCTGTGGTCCTCACCATCCCCACTGCTGCTGGGAGAAGCAAAGCTGCAGCCCTGCACCCCCAGCCTGTGGGCATTGCCTGTGCTCACAGGCTGCTGGGCATCTAGATGCCCACACAGCGGCCCTGAAGATCCTTCAGGACACTCCTGTGAGGGAGCTGTGTTCCGTGAGTATTTCCCTCTACAAAGACAGGAAGGCAGAGACCCCAACAATCCGCCTTCTTCCCCAAATGTGAGACAGCTGAGGGTATACTCTACTGTTTTAAAGCCTCAGTCATATTGGGGGAGTGCTTTCCTGTTTCTTATATAGGCACCTATATATGTTGTTGGTCTGACATATCAATATATAACTTTACAATAATATATATAGTAAATCATGTTTGATTTTATGTTGTTAAAATTAACACTCTACACAGAAAAATTATGTTTAAAAAAACTCAAGAAAGGGCCCTTGTAGACACATCCAATGTTATCCTTTTAGTGTAAATGCTGCATATATTCATAAAAATAAGATAATATCTAGTTTCTGTTCACCACTATTAAAAGCAATATAAATCATATTGACCATGCTAAGGAGAGAGATGGGTCTGGCATTGTGATACAGCAGGTTAAGCCGCCTTCTGCAAAGCTAGCTTCCCATATGAGAGCCATTTTAAGTTCCAGATGCTCTATTTCCAATCCAGCTTCCTGCTAATGTGCCTGAGAAAGCAGAGGAGGATGGCACAAGTGCTCAGGCCCTGCACCTACGTGGGAGACCCAGACTGAGTTCCAGGGTCCTGGCTTCAACCTGGCTTAGCCCTGGCCTTTGGCCACTTGGGGAATGAATTAAGGATAGTTATCCTTCTCTCCCTCTCTCCCCCCATACCCCCCTTCTTTCTGTAACTCTGCCTTTCAAATATAAATACATAAGTCTTTAAAAAGAAAAAGATACAACAAACATGTATCTAGAGACCAATAAGGTAGAAGTTGATTGCATCAAGCTGTCTTTGGTAAGCATCATCATTTAATTTGTGAATTCTGTAATCAGGTATCTAAGGCAACAATATTGATGCTCAATTTAACTGTCATTTAGTAATGTGATCATAAGTAAAAAACAAACAAACAACACAAAAAGAAAGGCAGTAAAACAGCTTCCCATGGTAGAAACTAAAAACCTAAAAACACATCCCACTTAACAAGGCTGACATGATTGGGATGTCTGTGACAGTTCAGTGCAGACCAAGGAGGCAGCCCTGTGTGGCACTGCAGAGAAACACAAGACTAATTGGTAAAACCTATTTTTGTGGTCTTGTGGGTTCTTTAAGATAACAGTTTGTTGATACAATTAAAATTGTATATAGAAATTAATTCTTTATAGTAAATTCAAAACAATGGTTTTTGTAATTAGATTCCTATATATAAGCAAATTCCTCACAATAATATAATTTAGGAGTGTTAACGTTTTAGAAAAGAAATTGAAATGTATCAGAAATAAGATTTATATATACTAGAAAATTCTTAACAATGTTTGTGATTTAAAGAAAAATGAAAGTGTTCAAATTTTACAATGCAATATAGGCTAACTCAAAAGCAGAAGTTCTTTGTCTTTTGGTAGTGCTGCTGTTATTATTGAAGTTAAAATTGGTTTTCATGGGTCTGGACCACTAGAGATCTTCTATTGTATTTGAGTTATAATCCAGTCCTTATAATGGAAAAACAATACAAAGCATTCCTTCTTTCTTTTCTTGCCTAAGGTTTTCTTTATTATAAAACTCTTTGGATGCCTGTTCTATGGCTAAAATGTATCTTTTTTAGCGTTTCCAAATGGCCAGAAGATGGCAGAGTTTCAGAATCTTCCATCACTCCCTTCCGAGTATAAAAACAAGCCCCCTACCTACCCCTTACCTTCTAATCATAAAGGGTTACCCTCAATTCTCTGGATAAACCACCTTTGATGTTTATGATGTTCAGCCAACTTGAACACAATATTTGTATGGATATGACTTTGCTGTCCTACTTGGAAGTGAATTTGAACCAGTGGGCCAGTCTTGGTTACCTTGCAGGAATGGACTTGACCGATTTTGTTAGCTTGCTACTAAGTAAAGCATACTCATATTTTCTACATGTGTCCAACTACACAGTCGGCCTTGTTGCAATTCAGTTCTTAAGAAGAAAATACATGAACCAGGAGACTTGGGTTTGAAATCGGATTGCTGTGTTTTGACCAGAGACAAGTTAACTACTCTATGTCAGAACATATATCTATAAAAGAAGCTCTTCATGGCCTTCAAGATATTTCCTGCTTTTTAAAATTATTTCCATTTGATTTGCATTGAAGAGAGACAAACAGACACATACAGAGAATTTCCATCTGTTGGTTCATTCTCTAAATACCTGCAATAATCAGGGCTGGGTAAGACCAAAGCCAAGAGCCTGGAACTCAATCTAGGCCTTCCACATAGGGACCCAACTAGAGCCATCACCTTCTGTCTACCATGGTGTGCATTTGTAAGAAACTAGGGTTGGAAGTAGAGCTAGGCTTCAAATCCAGGGCTCCCATGTAGGATGCAGGTGTTCCAAGTGGCAATTTAACTGCTGTGACAAATATCCACCCTTATTTTCTGGTTTTAAGAGCCATCAACTAATTAAATTTGAAAAAATCCTTGCCAACATCACTCATGTTTCAATGATTCTTCAAACTGGTTCAAATTCACTCATACTGATGCAAAATTGTAGTTTTACTATGCAAACTGTTATTCTGCTTAAAACTTAGAGTACTTAAAACTTAACTCTCAAAAAAAAAGATGGAGCATTTTCAGTATAAAAATTATTGCTGTTAGGAAAGTATTTGCATTAGGACAATTCTAGAAAAAATAGCCATCAGGCGGCCAGGATCTTGGCCATGTGACTCTAAGGCGGAGGAGAAGAAATCTGGAACTTCCTAAAACAAGTCTGGGGCATTAGCCTAGCTGTGTGGTTGGTCTCAGTGGAAGGAAGATGGGGAGAGGGTTAACAGGGACCAGCCAGCCAAGTCAGTTTCCTTGACAGAGCTTCACAGAAGCCCCATTCCATGCTTTCTGCTTCTGTCCCCTTGGCCATCCTGGTCTGCAAGGGACACTGGGAAACAGTTTTTTAGATAGACACATTGCTGCTCAGATATCAGAAGTGCCTTCATAATAACAAAAGGAAGAAATAATAGTAGGCAGCTACAGACTCACACTGACCTGGGAGGAGATCCCAACCTGTGGGCCTGGTAGAGACAGCTTTAGAGATCACCCAGCATTATTACCACTCAATGACATGGTAGTGACGTTGGGGTTCCGGGTCATGGGTCTATTCAAAGTGTGATCTAACAGCAGCTGCAGCGCAAGGATGGCTGGCAAAAACTCAGCAAATCAGAGTGCCCCACAAATGGACTTCAAAGAGAGCAGGCCTGAGTTAAAGTAAAAAACAGATTTTATTCAGTAACTATTTTCAGTAGGGGAAATAGCAGAACTCTGTTTTGATTTGTACAGTGGTGACTTGGGAATTTTAAAGAGACAGCAAGGGAGGGAGGCTGGCTGAAGCTCAGTAGAGTCGGGGAATCCAAAGTGACATAGGGTTCCTCGGCATAGACGCCATTAGGCTGGGTGTGTTGACCAGAGTTAGGATTCCACCAGACCACGGAGACTGGAAGGCGCAGTGCCGAGCACTTCAGGTGATTACGTTTCAATGGAATAATCCTCAGGTCCTTGAGAGACTTCCAAACTGTTCAGGAAACATATTGCCAGCTGCAAGCCCCTTCCAGGAAACACTCTAAAGAAAGGAGGTCAGAGGCCTCTGTTGAGGTGTTAGCTGGAGCAAATAGTGGATCATGATGCCAGCACTGGCCTTTCTCAGGGTCGGGGTCATCCCCAGGAAGGGCTCTGTGCTGGAGAGCTCCTGTCGCGTGTCTCGGCCGGTCTCCTCGCACAGCGGTTGGGACAGAGCTCTCGTGTGTGGAGAGGTCTGCTGTCCTCAGGGCCTCCGACACGTTGACATTAGGGAGCTCAGGCAAGAGCCCGGTCCTCCAGAGAAAGTACAATTTAAGGGAGGACACAGGAGCAGTGGCGGGAGGGGAGCAGGGCTGGGAGAGTGACTGGGGTGCAAGTCTGGATTCCAACTCCCAAGCAGGTTGGAATGCCTAAGCTTGGTCCCGCTCCGATGAGCTTGTTAGCTGGATGCAGCTGATCCTGCAACTCTTAACCCCCAGGGACTGCTGCTAAGCAGGGCTAACACCGAAAGATAATACTCTAAGCAGATTTCCTTTAATCAGGCACAAACCACCTGAACAGATGTGTTCAATGTTATTGATACTCAGAGTCAATACTCAGCACCCAAGTTAAACAAGATTAACCACGCATAATGTTTTTAAGCACAAGCTCCCAATCTGCCCCCTTTTATCCCTTTATCATCTGGTCCTTTGGATGACCTTCGGGTCTCTGGAACGTGATGACCAGCACCCAAGGATCACCCAAGAACCACTGCCCTCCTTGTCCAGTCATGCCCTGTGCCTTTAGTTGCTTCCAAAGCCAGAGGCTGGGCCCTCCCTCTTCTTCCTCATGCATTAGAGCCTGGCTTTGCAAACAGGTAGGCCTCAGCGGGAAGCCCGGCTCCATCCCGCGGAGCCCTTGCAGTGACTCTGAAAGCCACCTTCTCAAGAATTCCTGATTGTTCTCAGTTCACAGTCCAGGAGATGGAGGCCATGAAGATGGTATGCCGCGGTTTCCGGGAGCACTTGGAGGAAATCGAACAGCACCTTACAGGACAGCAGGCACTCTTCTACAGACACATGTCAGAGGAGGAAAGGTAACTTTCTGAGGCGGCCGTCAAAGTAAGTAGCAGCCCCCACCCCTGGAGCAAGGAAAGTAATCAGAGCAGGACACAGGAGCACCTGGAGCAGGGCTAATGAGAAACCCACCAACCTTCCCTTTGCTTTCCAGGTTTTGTTCTGGCTTTCTCAGTGGGATGTGGGAGAACCACCAGGGAGGGTCAGAAGAGGGGCAGTCAGCTGGGAGAGGGGGCACTGCCAGCAGGGTGCCTCTAGCAAATGTGGACTCGTGCACATGCAAATGTTGGGCGTTATTAAAGATTTGGGAATCTGCATTGTTTTCACATAGCTTAAACATATGCCCTCAGCCCCCAAGTATACAAATCATTCATCCTCTGGAAGTAAGGAGGTGGGAACAGGATGTAATTGTAAAGGGCCCTGAGGATTCTTACCGTGGAAATGGGAATTTTGTAAAACTTTACGGTGGTGATGCTTACAGAAACTGGTAAATTTATTAAGAAGTACCGAATTGTTCTCTTAAAACAGGTGAATTTCCTGATGAGCAAATTATGCACAATAGCATTGTTTTTTTTTGTTTGTTTGTTTGTTTTTTTTGACAGGCAGAGTGGACAGTGAGAGAGAGAGACAGAGAGAAAGGTCTTCCTTTGCCGTTGGTTCACCCTCCAATGGCCGCCGCGGCCGGCGCGCTGCGGCCGGCGCACCACGCTGATCCGATGGCAGGAGCCAGGAGTCAGGTGCTTTTCCTGGTCTCCCATGGGGTGCAGGGCCCAAGCACCTGGGCCATCCTCCACTGCACTCCCTGGCCACAGCAGAGGGCTGGCCTGGAAGAGGGGCAACCGGGACAGAATCCGGCGCCCCTACCGGGACTAGAACCCGGTGTGCCGGCGCCGCTAGGCGGAGGATTAGCCTAGTGAGCCGCGGCGCCGGCCCAATAGCATTGTTTTTTAAAATGCAACCAGCCCTAGTAATATTCCTATGCCTGCAACTGATGCAAATAAAGAAGGTCACAGTCTCTTAAGAAATTCCAAAGGCAGGCCTTGCATTATGAAAGAAACACTGGAAGGCTGCCCCAGGAAGTGATTGCTAACTGTGGTCATTTTCTATTATTTACCTGCAGGGAGGAAGCAGCCCAACTGCAAACTTTGCGTGAGACCCTGAGGCAGCAGGTGGCAGAGCTGGAGTTTCAGTTAGGAGACCGGGCGCGGCAAGTCAGAGAAGGGATTCTCTTGGTATGGGGTGCTGGGTGTGGAGTTTGTAACCATAGTTGGGGGAGGGTGGCGTAAATGAGAAACCAGGTTGTGTAGTTATTGCCGATTCTAGGGTTGTGTACTCACACCGTCATTCAAAGTGTAAAGAGAAGTATCTTGGCTCTCTCAAGGCCACACGACCAGCTGGTGGAGACTCAGACTCCAACTCTGCTGTGGGTTGATGACTGCTTTGCGTATTCCCTAGAAGCCCGTGATTCAAGGCTCAATCCCAGGGTGTGCTGTTGGGAGGGGATAGAAACTTGGAGACCTGGGGTCTAGTGAGAGGTCCTGGGAGGCTGTGCTCTCAGAAAGAGATTCTCACGTGGACTCTTGAATTCCCAAGAGAAGATTGTTAGAAAAGCCTGAATCAGCCCCTACTCTGTCTGTCTGCTCCCGCGCAGAGATGTAAGCCCTTGCCTGCTCCTGAACACGTCTGCCATTGCCATCCTACCAATCGCCAAGCGGTCATCACAAGAAATGAGTCAGTTCAGTGTCATGACAGGGTACTATCAGCCTATTTTCCAAATAAGAACAGGAATCTTGGGCAAGGCAAAACTTATCTTTTAAACCGATATGGGCACAATCACTACCAGCATCCACTGCTGGCTCGAAGACCCCATTATGAAGAACTTGGCATCTGATAAATGCCTTCCTCCCAAGTCTGAGTTAGATGTTTGGTGCATAAATGTTGTTCACTCTTTTGTCATGGTTTTCTTCTAGCAACTGGAGCTTCTCACAGGGGAGCCACCTGAACGTTGTACAAATCTGCCTCATTGGACCTGGATGGAAGGAAACAATGGCCAAACTTCATGTGCTGAACTTCACCCAGCCATGACTGCCAGGGCTACCATTCCTCCCAACAGTGGCCAACAGGCTCCCAGCTCAGGTGAGAGTCAGATGGCTGCCTTCACTCAACCTGCCCTGGAGACCTGCACCAGGATGTCTCCTCCATCAGTAGCTCAGTCTGAGGCAGGTCCAACTCCTAGTCCAGCATTTTCTAGAGTCTATGAGGTATCCTGGATGTCTCAGTATCTAAGACATTGATTCAGGTGCCTATGTCCCATGTTGGAGGTGTGCCTTGATTTTATTTCTGGCTCCAGCTCCTAATTCCAGCTTCCTACCAGTGTAGTCCCTGGAAGACAGAATGATGTTTCAAGTAATTGAGTCCCTGCTACCCATGGATCAGAAGTGGAGCAGCCAGAACTCGAATCAGCACCCATATGGAATACCAGCACAACAGGCGATGGCTTTACCCAATATGCCATAGCACCAGCCCCTCAAATACATTTAAAAAAAGAAAATTGTGTGGGAAGGGGCGGCTCTATGGCATAGCAGGTAAAGCTGCTGCCTGTAGTGCCAGCATCCCATATGGGTACCGGTTTGAGTCCTGGCTGTTCCACTTCTGATCCAGCTCTCTGCTGTGGCCTGGCAAAGCAGTAGAAAACTGCCCAAGTCACTGGGCCTGTGCACCCATGTCGGGGGCCCAGAAGAAGCTCCTGGCTTCAGATCAAGCAGCTCTGGCCATTGCGGCCATCTGGGGCATAAACCAGCAGATGGAAGACCTCTCTCTCTCTCTCTTCCTCTGCCTCTCTGTGACTCTGCCTTTGAAATAAATAAATCTTCAAAAGAAGTAAAATAAACTTTTGTAAAATAGGAATAAGAAAAAAACACAGGCTTGTTGGATAGAACAAATGTACTGAATCATGTGCGGTATTAAATCCAACGCTCATCATCTAGCAAGTACTCCAGTTGTGTTAGCCATTCAAGTGCACATCCCAACAACTCAGTACTTTCAAGTTGTAATTATTATCTTCCTTCTGTTAAAAGTACTGTTAATAAAGTATTTTATGCAAAAAGAATGTTAGCAAGTGTGTGATGGATGAGTGAGATGGGAATAAGCAGCCTCAGGAGACAGTAAAGAGACTGATCTGTGACAGAAGCACAATTTTCGGCTGTATTGTGAGCTGAGTTTGAATTTTAACAGGGTGTTTGTTTATGGACGGCTTTGACAACCTGGAAGATGGCTTCTGATGTGACAGTGGAGGAAAAGGAGACCCACTGCTTTCAGAGGAAAGGCAGCACCTGGAGTCCTCAAAGATCTGCAACCATTCCACGGTGTTTCCCTCCAGTGGTTCGTTCTCCCAGTTCTCCAGCAAAGAGCACGGAGAGGAGCCCTGAAGCAGGGAGGCTGCCCCATCACTGCCAGGGCTATCACTGCCCTCAGCGCATGATGCACTGATTGCCAAGGCTGCTCCCACCATCGATGCCCTCAGTGCATGATGCGCTGATTGCCAAGGCTGCTCCCACCATCGATGCCACCATCAATTAGCAGGCCTTCAGACGTAGGCTGAATTATATCGCTGCCTTCCCTGGTTCATATAATAAGTGTCCTCATATACAGACCTGTTCATTGTTCCTATTTCTCTGAAAAACCCTGACATGAAAGACACATCATAGAAGAACTAAGAAACTGGCTACAAAAGTACACACTGAGTCCTGCCATTTATCCTGAGCGAGAAGCAATGGACTCTGGGATTGAATCTAAGGTTTGGGGTTTAAATCCAATTCCACTATATATTGCCTGTGTTGGATAAATGGTTGAAATTCACTAAGTCTCAGTGTCATCATCTGTATATCAACAGTTAATGCATATTTTAGGGTGCTTCAAAAACTGCACAGAAAGTGGAATTAAAAAAAAGTTTATATTGATGCAAACAACTTTTGAAATCCATGCATATCTTTTCCACAATGTGCATTTTCTGTGAACTTTTTCAAGACCTTATATAGTCTTTTAGAGCAAGCCTAGAGCTTGGTTAGGGCTCAGGAGATGTTAGTGTTGATGATTAGGATGGTGATAGAAAGTAGATGCAATACATTGAATACCTACAGGCAAGGTACAGGGCTAAGCACTTTACTTGAATTATCACTTACTTTCACAACAATCCTAAGAGGTAGGAATTAATCTCAACACACACGTACATACTTGCTTAGAAAGACTGAAAACTGTGAGAGCTGGCAACTATTAAGGATTGAGTTGACTCACTGATTTCCCGGTTTGCTACACCAGTGCTTTGTCATTATGGTTCTTTCAAGTGTTGGGGCTTATGTGGAACCTACTGATGGGCCCCAGTTAGAGTAGCTCTGCTTCTGTGTGCATTATACATTGTTTTAGCAGAAATTTTTGTTCAGAAATTCTCATTGCTACAGATAAGTTTGAGAACAGTGAATGTACTAATCACATATGACTGTTGCACTCAAAGAGGTTCTGAGTGACTTTCACATAAGGAGACGATGCTGCCACAGAGGATTCCTCTCCAGCCTACCATCCTAGAAACTCTTCGCTTATTTGTACTTGAACCACTGCTAAGAAAAATGGCAGGAGTCCTGCAAGTCTCAAATCTCTGTATCCTCTTGATCATATTCAAGTTGACTACGTTCAGGAAAAGACAGACCATGTATTTGAAAACAGAGAGAAGAATTGCAATAAATATTTGCAGAAGGCAAGCCTTTTAATTATGAAACCAAACTTGGGGATTTTATTTCATTAAATGAAAAAGAATGTGAAGTAAAAATCTCAGCACCCAGTCATTTTCAATTTTGGAAATTCACCAGGAAACAATCTGGACTCTTGTCTATCAAAGGTCTGGAGTCCTTCCCTGGATTAATGTCATCCCAACCAGATCCAATTTCAGTATTCAAAGCCACAAGCTCTGAATCATGGAAGTGTGATTTCAGACACAATACTTGGAATTCAAGTCACATGTATTCCTTGGCTTTCTTGTGCATGAGTGAACACCCAAGTCACAGGATGGAGACAAAAAAAAAAAAAATGGAACCTTGAAGGCTACTCTGAACCATAGCATGTACAGAAATCCATTTGTTAGCACACAGAATAGCATCCCTAGGAAAGTGTCCTATTCAATTTTATTTAACAGATAATCTCTTATATGTAGATGCCTATCTGCAGAACTGGAGCTTTTTTTCTGCTTCAAAAGAAAATCATTCCAATAAAGAGGGAGACAAGATGTTGTAATACCATGAGAATCAGGTCTGTTTTTTTTTTTTTTAATCTGTTTCTGGGATGTAACACAAGTCGAATACAACAGGACACTTGCAGAGCTGCTGAGGGATGAAAGTAGTTTACCTTTAAGAAAAAAAGTGTTGGTATTTTCACATTGGAGCAATGGGCTGCATATTTAATTACAAATTGTAATTTACAGGGATTACATAATTAGATTATTAAAAATGATGTTGAACTGCCCTTTTTGAAAATAAAGAGGTAACAGAAGCCATATTACGGACGGGACATTTCCCTAGCACACAGGCGATCCTGCTAACAGCTCCATTCTAAAACCTGAACAGAGCAGAAGGTGGGTAGGGATGTGCCCTCTCTGTACCTGTCTTCAGTTAAATAAAGGGAGAATCGTCCACATTGAGAATGATGCCAAATCCTAGGAAACAAAGCTAAAGAATCTTCATTTTTGTGTATTTGAAGAACTCATTCCAATTCATGCTGTCATATTTTTCCCTGAATAGAGAGACCTGCTTTCTCCTCTGGGCCTCCTAGGTGCCCCCTATGAATCTTGGTCTTAACGTGTGTGTGGTACCTAATTACTCAAACTTCTGCCCTCTCCTGGACTTCCGAGTAAGTTTCTCTTAGGAAGAGGATGGAGTTATTTTTTTTTCTATTGTACCTAGCACTAAAACATAGTAGCAGCATTTGGTAAACCAGTAAGTTTACAATATCAAATCTGACCCTAGGACTTAACCCTCTGAATTATATTTTCATTGGATATAGAGATATGAGTTGATTTTTTTTCCTTTCAGCACTTGAAAAATGTTATTCCACTGATTTTTTGTTTTGTTTTGAGCTCCATGGTTTCTGATGAGGAAGCTCTGATTATTCAAGTTATCAGTGTCGTGCGTGTAATGTATTGCTTTTGTCTGAGCTTTTGTTTTGGTTTTGATCATTGATTATGATGAATAAGAGCATGTTTTCCTTGATTTCATTCTACTTGAAATTTATTTACTTTCGTTTATAAATTTATGTTCTTTACCAAATTTGGAAAATTATCAGCCATTATTTCTTCAAATGCATTTATTTCTTCCTCTCCTTCCAGGACAGCAATAAGAGTAATATACGAGCTCCTGATACCGTTTCATGGTTCTCTGCAGCTCTGTTTGCTTTATAGCAAATGTTTCCCCCAACCTGTGCTTTCTGTATCAGCTAATTATTATTTTCCTTTCACATCTATATTCTGCCTTTGAAGTCCTTCAGTGAACTTTTTATTTGTTACTGAATCCAAAATTTCCATGTGATTCACTGATAAACCTTCCACTTCTTGGCCGAGAATGTCCATCCACTCCTTTCAAGAGTATTCACCCACCCTATCTTCATGGATTCACCCTAACTTCATGAATCGTCATGGAAGAGGTACATTCAGGTCTTTCTTTACCAATAATAAAGTTCTGAGAATTCCCACAGTTGGGCCAACCTGGCATTTTCAGGTGTTGATTACATGTTCCCTTGGAGACTGCTAAGATATTCCTGGCTCTTTGTGTATAGACTCTTTTCCTATTGTGTCTGGGGAATTTTTGTAGTACACCATGGGACTGTCAGTTCTGTGCTTGCCTTAGTAGGCCATCAACTCAGTGAGGTTGCAACCTCCACCTTAATCCATCTGCAGACTGTGTTCTGCATTACCTGCCTGACCGTGAGTGTACACCACCCAGGAGTCAGCCTGGCACCATAGTTCAAGGGTCAAAGCCTTCGCATGTTGCTTCCAATCAGTTCTCTACATGCGCAGCTGAGACGAGCCCAAGGCTGTATACACAGATCTAAGCGATACCTTTTCCCAGCTACCTCCTGCCTTGCCTCCCACCCCTATTTTTTCTCCTCTAGGCTTCTTTTCCTGGCTCTGATTAGAAAACCATGATTTTGGCATCATGAACTTCCTGCAACTGAATTGATCTCAGGACAAAGCAGCAATAGGAACAGGTCTGAGGAGACTCTGCATCTGTAGCTGCTACCTGATTCCACCTGCCCTGCCACTGCTATTGCCATTGCACAGGAATGCACCTTGTTTCTGGGGCCTGCCTGGAGTAGGCCTGGGAGATGCAAAAGATCTGTTTCCCAGGGGATCCCTTTCCTTGTCCTTTGGCCCAAAAGTGTGTTTTATGTTAACACCTGTTGCAACAGTTTTAAGATTCAGGTTGCCCGAGAATCTATGCAAGAAAAGATGGGGGGGGGGGCAGGAATTCATTTCCAGAGGTATTTTCCCTTGAGCTTTCCATTCTCCTTCCCAGTCGATCTGCTAGTATTTGCTTTTTGGAGTCCACAGCTTATTGCTTCTTATATTCTGTTCAGGTTTTTAGTATTCATCAGTGGGGAAGATGGGATAGCATGTACTTAGTCCATCTTAACCAGAACTGAAGTTTATCAATCTAGTTTTTTTTTTTTATTTTGTTTATTTTTTATTTTTTGACAGGCAGAGTGGACAGTGAGAGAGACAGAGAGAAAGGTCTTCCTTTGCTGTTGGTTCACCCTCCAATGGCCGCCGCGGCCAGCGCACCACGCAGATCCGATGGCAGGAGCCAGGCACTTATCCTGGTCTCCCATGGGGTGCAGGGCCCAAGCACTTGGGCCATCCTCCACTGCACTCCCTGGCCACAGCAGAGAGCTGGCCTGGAAGAGGGGCAACTAGGACAGAATCCGGCGCCCCGACCGGGACTAGAACCTGGTGTACCGGCACCACAAAGCGGAGGATTAGTTTAGTGAGCCGTGGCGCCAGCCTCTAGTTGGTTTTAATATTCTCTTTGTATAGTAACATAAACACTAGCACATGCTTACCATGTGCTAAAGCCACTATGCATGAAATTTTCCTGTAGAAAAGCAAATGTTGGTGGTAATTATCATTATTCTCATTTTAAAGATGAGGAAACAGGATTGCTGAGGCTATGTGGATTGTTTAATGTCACACAGCTGGAAAACCAGGTATGATCCCAGTTGATCTGCCTCCAAGACCACACTCAAGGACTCTGCAATATAGCCCTGGCCAGCTCTGTCACGCCACCCACGTTAGGCCAGAGCTACAGATGTTCTGAATACAGGTGAGGATCAGGCAGGAGTGTTCTCTGAAACCCGTGTTTTTCTAGCTTTCAGCATCAATTAGGTCAGATTGAAAGATGTACTTATGCACAAGGCATGTTGAGATTTAATATTGCTTTGTGTTGGTTACTGGGCAGGTGTTTGTTTAAAAGAAGTAGAAACAGGTGTGTGGGCCCTGATTCAATTACATGATGGAGAGGGACACACTGATCCATGGCCATTTTCAAGGAGAGAGGCTGATGGTGCTAATTAATCATTTGTCTGTCAGAACCAAATAGAACATAATAGAAAATGATGTTCCAGTTGCCACAGGTACGGGACACAGACTCTTGGGCCAGCTCTCCCAGTGAACAGATGCAACTGTTCATGGTGATGGCAATTAAGATGCAGTACCTGCATTCTTCAGGATTACCATTTCTGACATGGCTTGAAAGAAAGGTGTGTTAGAAACTCTTGCCAACAGCATGGGACCTCGTCCAACAGGAATCACCTCTCCAAGGAACCCTTCCCTTCAAAGAGATTAATTGAGTCTTTTTAGATCACAAGGGTGTCCCTTAGGAATGGCTGGAAGGGGCATTTTCAGTTATGTGCCCTAGAACATTCCAACTACCTCACCTGACCAGACGTTTGTGTTCAGAGTGGAGGAGTACAATAAATAACACTTAGTTCTTTCTTTCATTTATCTACTTGCCACTCAACAGCCAGAACAGCCTTTTAAAAAAGACAAAGCAGGTACTTTGGTCTATGCTTTGCAGTCCATTTCAGTACATTCAGGACATTTATAAGAACTCTGACTCCTCACCAAGTTCTACCAACTGTACATGACCCCACCTTGCACATCTTTCTGACCTCGTCTCATACAACTCTCCTTTTTTCTCTCCAATCCAACTTCGTGGGCCTTCTAGTTCTGCCTCGGGCTCCTTTTCTTGTCTGTCCCTTCTTTATATTTGCTTTTCTGCTCTACCCAGATAGTTGTAGGCCTGGTGCCTTCTCATTCAGATCTCTGTTCAAATGTCTCCTTCAGAAAGACATCCAGGATAACCCATCCACAAAAGGGTTTCTTCCTACACACACCTCTGCATATTCACTGTCTGCTTACCTGACTTGTTTTCCTTCATGGTAGGTATTTTCTGTGTTTTTGCTTTTTTCTTTGTTTATTCATTTAGTGTGTATCTCCCCTACTAGAACATCAGATTTACAGATGAGGGATTTGTCAGTCTTCTTTCTATATTATTCCCTAAAACACTGCCTAGCATATAATAAGTTCACAAATGGATTTGATGAGTGAATGGACAAAAGAATTGTCTAACCAGTTAACAAGACTATTAAAAACTGCAAAAAAAAAGTCTAATCCATCAAATAAGTTTTAGTTTGGGGAAGAAAACATATACAACTAATAACCTGTCCATGTTACTTTGTTCATATGAGGGGATTTTATAAATTTTCAGGAAGAGGGGTATCAAATGACTTTAGTGTAAAAATTTTTAAGCCATTCATAGCATTCTCACAATATACATTTTTCCCAAACTTTTGAAGACCCCTTCCAATCTTTCAAAAATTTCTGGTCAATAAGACTTTTCATCATTTTCAAAAGTTAGTAGAAAAGTTGAAAAAAAAATAGGACAACAAAGTAAGTCTTTTAAAAAGCAAAGACAACTTGAGTAACAGTGTTGTTGTTTTTGCTTCAGGGTCACATCACCCCTAAGTGACAGGGGTTGTCACAAACAGCCTGCAGTGTCACCACCATGACTCTCAGCTGTGCAGCCACCTCCAAGATCCAGCCCCAGGCTCCTGCTTGCTTTGCCAGACAGTGGAACTCTCTCTGAAGACCCCCGTTCTGTAGTCCTGCCTCCTCTCTAGGACCTGCTTTGAAATAAGGTTTATTATGGGAAGGCTTTCTTTACCTTTGGGACCCCATGTCTATATGGGTTTTTCAGATTCTACTCAAGCATCTAGGTTACTGATTCTCAAGTGTGACTGCCTATTAAAATAATCTGAGAGGTCTCAGAAAGTTACCATTGCCTAGAAACCACATTCAGAATTTTTATATAATTGGTCTAGGGTGGGGCATGGGTGCTGGCGTTTTATGAAAGTGCTCCAAGTCACGTCAATGCATACACAGGGTTAAGAACTCTGAGCCCCAGTCATCTATAAGGAATTATATTTACAGGGCAGTAATTCACATATGTGAAATTTGACTTGTTTTTCTAGTCCAAGGGAGAAACAACTCAAAGGCAAGTACTTCTTAGGCATTCCCATTCATAGGGCACCTGCTGAGTCCTACCCTTCCTTGCTCACCTGCCCTAAAGCCTTGGTTTCTTTTCTCAAAAAGTGCCTTGTACACGCCTTATCTATGAGGATGTTCACTGATTTTTTTTTTTTTCAAGAAACCACTCTTATGTATAGGTGTTAATAGCATTGATGATCTACCTCCTCTCCAAGTCAGCTTGGGCATCTCCACACCTCCAGGCCTCTGTTCTAGTCTTATCAATGCGATGGGGGCTGAGGAATATGGAGGAGATTCCTCACTGCATCCAGACTCATCTGAAATGTCTGCATCCAAAAGCACCCTCCTACATCAGAGGTCAACTTTTGAAAATCTTTATCTTCCAGGATATGAGACTAGAAAGAATATCGCTCTTAATGAAGAAAAGCCAGAAAAAGTCATGTTTTGCGAACTCACGTTGATGCAAATATCCTCAACCATTGCTTAGCAAACCAGGGGTGGGTGTTTGGTGCAGTGATTAAGATGCTGATTTGGACACCTGCATCCCACATCAGAGTGCCTGGATTTGAGTCCTGGTGCTGCTTTGATTCCAGTTTCCTGATAATGTGTACCCTGGAAAGTAGTAGGTGATGGTTCAAG